TTGGAGCAATCGGTATCTGAGCCAGGTTTTAAGGATAAGGATATTTGTCAGGTGGACAAAGATAGGAGACTGGGGAGAAAATTTTCAAATAGGGGGAGCAGTACATGCAAAAGCATCCTTTAAAGCCTGAGGAGCACGTTGGCAAGTGATGGGCCAAATTTCACCTATAAATCTTTTGATCGGCCCACACAGATATTTTTAATGTGATTTAGTGGCCAACGTTGAACAATTTGAAAACTTTACATAAATATATGCATTTCTGGCTTCTAAAAAAAAAAAAAATCAGATCTGTCCAAAGTAGCCAGCATTTCCAGATCAACTACAAGTTCTAAACAGTGTTTTAGATAAAGCGTGAGTCTTCAGTTTGCCACCATCCCTACCACTGCATATTACCTGCACTCAAGCAATGCACTCACATTATCCGCCCTTGAATTGGCAATCTCTTCTCTATAGTCTTAAAAGAAATCAATAGCGGATTCACTGAGTTTACAGACGCTTTTCCTCTTTAGCAGTTTGATTACAATACTGATTTGTGGAGATGGATTTTCCCGCACAGTCATTCGGTTCTTTTTCCGTGTCTTGGCTCACAAGTTGCCCTCTCTGTGTACAGTTTCTAGTTCTTAAATAAGAAATAAAGAGCCTCCCTGCTATTAGCCATTTCTTTAGGTTCCAGCTTACTGTGTTAATTCTGCTAACCTCCCACCTCCTTTTATAGGAATCGCCTTACCTTTCCTTTCCTTCTCTATTTGTTCATTACTTGTGCTCTTTCAGCCACATCTTTATGTTGGCTAGACACAGCCTGGCAGAGTGGTTAAGACTCTGGCTCTGGAGACAAACAAATTCAAATATCTCAGTTTTGAGGCCTCATAGGGGTTCCCTGACCTCGCTGGGCATCAGTTTTCTGAGCTGCAGATGAGGACGGTGATAGATTTACTTCAAAAGGTTCTCGTGGATGATTAAATTAGCTAATTTAACACAAGGTCTGGCTCAGCAAACGATAGTTGTTGTTGGATCTGTGTGCCCCCTCAGACACAACTACAGCTGGGAAAACCTCTTTGCCTCTTTTCCTTCCAGTCACACCCTTATTCTGTACCCTGTCGCACCTCAGCAAGGATAGCCTGGAAAGAGGCCCAAGTTTTCTTCTGCTTGATTAGTCAGTGTGGGTTTGTTTATTTCTTTTCCATTTCTTCTTACCAGATACTTTAAGTTCTGCACACCTCTGTCTGATAAGTGTCCCAGCTTTGAGACAATGAATCTTAGCTATTATAATTTATTAGAAAAGTTTTTGCTTAGTTTACTTTCCTAAATCTCCTTTATTTTTTTGAAAAGAAATCCTCTTTGTGAGGCATGTTCCAGATTGCTAGCATGTGTATCTAAGCAAGAATCTGCAAATCCTGAGCTCTTAGAGGTTGGTTCCGTGTCTGTGTAGGTCACTTTGTTCCAAGACGCAGAGGCCATAGCTGCTGTAGAGAAGCAACATTTGCCCTGACCAGAGTGACTCGTTAGTTGGGCAACCAGAAGGTTGCTGGTTCGATTCCCAGCTGGGACACATGCCCAGGTTGTGGGCGCCATCGTAAGTAGAGGTCATGCAGGAGGCAGCTGACAGGTGTTTCATTCTCACATCCATGCTTCTCTCTTTCTTCCTCTCTATACCTTTCTCTCTGAAAATCAATAAAAATATTTTTTGAAAAGAAAAGCAGTATTTCCTTGAGACAGTATCAGTATTCCATTTCCCATCTTTGAGGTGCAAATGGTGTGCTTTTGTTTTAGTTGGGGGTGGCGTGTTTGTTTGTTAGCAATCTCTATAACATGGCTGTGCCTTTTCCCTGCACCAGGATGCATTCTTCCCTCTGACCTTCAGAGCACTTGATACTTGGTTAACAGTACTCACCTCCTACCTGGGTTCTGTTTCTCATACACAGTTCCCAAATCACACCCGTAGTCTGCTTGCTACTCTTCCTGGATCTATGAGCACAAAATAATATTACAGTAACCCTTGATCTACTATTTCATTATCTTCAGGGATGTCTGAATTGGAAAAGACAAGTTTGGGCTCCTCTTGCACCATCAAAAGGCAAATAGTGACACACTCAGCAGCAGTGGGGGGTGAGGGGAGGATAAGGAGAGAGTACCTGGCCCATCTTGTAGACCAGACAACCAAGAACCCCATATGCCAGCCGAGCTCAGCCCAGCTCCCCTGTAATTTCTAGAATCTGCTGAGGCTCATGATCATTCGTGGGGAGGTATTCCAGAGAGAATGGCCCCACTTTCTGGGCATTTTTTTCAGGATGACTGACAAGAGCTAGCACACTTCAAGCAGTCCTTCAGTTGACACGTTCAGTAGGGTAGTGTGCTTTTCACAGGTGTTTACATTGAGCACTGGACACAATCCCAAAATGTGACAAATGACATTTCATAGCATTGTTAAGAAAATTTTCTCTACCTTTTATCCCTCTCTTGAAACTGTTTTTTCATTATTTAAAAAAAAAAAAAAAAAAAAAGTTATGTTCTAGCTCAAAGGTCAAGCCATGGTCAAACAAAAGCCATAAAATAGATCTTCAAGATCCAATATCTTTTCTTTGGGTGTTCTCCTTTGGCTCAGACAGTAACCATTCTTTACTCAAAAAAAAAAGTGCATGATATCTGAACTCAATCAGAACAATTTTATTTCATGCTTCGTTTTATATGTGGGCTTTTGCGTGAGTACACAACCTCACTTCTTTGCTTGTCTACTTGACCAGCTTCTGGCTGAGTGATAAGGGTCACAATTTCTATCCTGGAACAAGGCAAAGAACACCCAGAAAAGAGACCCAGATTCTGGGTCTAGTTCTTTCACTTTCTGTTTGGGTGTCCTTAAACAATTCTGGAGCTGTTCCCACTCTGTGCTAAACTAAGCCATAAATTTCTTTGGTCCACGCATTGCAAGCTGGCTGGCTGCTGCCAAAGATATCCCATATCAGTGTTTTGCTTGGCCCACAGAGCATTTTGAAAATTGGTAAACATTAACTAAACATCCAAATGTCCAACTCCTCTTGAAAAATACAAAGCTGGGCAACGGTGAACCAACATGCCTGCATGGCAACATTGCCTAAAGCTGAGTAATGCCGCCAGCTCCAGAGCTGGTGTGCACTGCACAGCCCGCAGCAGTCCCCACCACTCCCTGTCGCCTGGAACCAGCCCTGCTTTATCATTGGCATAAGCTACTGGCCCTAATCTGCTCTGATTTCTGGGAGCTCGCCATTCAGCCACCCTCTTCTACACCTGCTTTAATTTTTCAGTTATTCTTGTAATGCGAAGCATATAATAGAAGCATTTCTCTATAGGTCCTTAATATTATAAGGCCCTCATCCAATTGTTGGCTCATACTGAGGTTGTGAGAACTTAAAACTCAGGATCGCCGTCTCATGAATTATCTCACGAAGTTGACTGCAAAGCATGGTCTGCTTTGCCCTACAGCTTTTCTAATGACAATCTGTAGTTCTGAGTTTTTATATTTCTCACAGGGAGTTTGTGATATCAAGTATACCATAGGATGAAATCATTAAAAGCTTTGAAATAAAGCTCTAAGCAAGCACAAACTATTTATCTTTAAATAGTGCATAGACTATCTACTGACAAGGATAGTCTCTGTCAATAAGTGCATTTTATGATTTTTTTTTCATGCTTTGGGTTTTTTAACTGCTTAAAAATATGCCTTTTCAAGTTGCTGGTTCGATTCCCAGCTGGGACATAATAATAATATCAACTGGATATTACCTTTCTGAGAAATACCCTATCAAAAGTGTATTGTATTCAATAATAACCTGTAAAACCATATACCCACTCTCTCCTCATGTTTTATCAATCAAGTTGACACTTGGCCTTACCATGTATAGAAGGTGATAAATATATTTCACTGTACCAAATTTATACATCCTGGGTACAAATGAGAGGATGCTTACACCTGTTGTTCACAAAAATATATTGAGACCATAATACAATCCTCTATTTTCATAATTTTATATAAAGAGTAAATGGTTATGGATGACTTTCAGAATGCATTGCTTACCAAAACTAATTCATAACCATGAGTTGTTAATGGTAGAAAGTTAAAAAAAATATATAAAAAAAAAAAAATCGGGATAGCAGAGGCAAAGTGAAATGCAAAAGAAAACAAAACAATCTGCCCTAGCTGGTTTGGCTCAGTGGATAGAGTATTGGCCTATGGGCAGACTGAAAGGACCAGGGTTCAATTCCAGGGAAGGGCATGTTCAAGGCATGTATGTGGGTTGCAGGCCCTAGTTGTGGTGGGTGTGGGAGGCAACCAATCCATGTGATGTGACTCTCCCACAGAGATGCTTCTCTCTGTCTCTCCCTCTCCCACTCTCTCCAAAAATCCATGGAAACATGTCCTTGGGTGAGGATTAACAAAGACACAAACAAAAACCCAAACCCAGGCTGTTTGAGGAGCCAGCTGCAGCAGCCCTTTAGGACGGGCCGAGGGCCAACCCCAGGTGCCCTTTCCATTTCTCCTCTCACGCCTTTCTCCCTTGTGTGTTTAAGATCGGAGCACAGTGCTACTTGGAATGCTCGGCCCTGACCCAGAAAGGTCTCAAGGCGGTGTTCGACGAAGCCATCTTCACCATCTTCCACCCCAAGAAAAAGAAACGCTGCTCTGGGTGTCACCGCTGCTGCTCCATCATCTGAGGTGGTGTGACCCGCTGCCATCCCATTCAAGGGCCGGAAGGGCAGCCAGCCAGCCAGCCTCTGCGGCCCAGCTTAAGCCCCTGCAGAGGGCGGACCTAGAAGAAGTCCCTGCACCCGGGGCCCTGAGCCCTCCACGCACAGCCACTAGCCAGCCCACTGCCGAGTCCTCCCTGCAGCCACTGCCCTCTGACAGCGTGGGAGCAAAGTCCAAGGCTGCCTTGCATACCCCCCTCCCATGAACATGCAGCTGATGGGAAATCATCGCGGGAAAACCCAAAGAGACACTTGCTTCCTGTCCTGGTGGCCTTACTCAAATGCCTTCTACAAACCATGGGAATGCAGCGCTGACCTCTTTTGCTGCATCGGCTACTCTACCTGTGTGGCTTACCGTCACTGGTGTTATTTTAAGAAATTTTCTAATCTGCCAGTGTCTTCGGGCCTTACACATCCACGCCAAATTAGCCTACAGACAAAGTATTTTGTATTCATGTCCATCTTCAGCCTGTTTCTACCAAAGCTATTATGATAGATTAGAACCAACGTGGACCTCTGCATGCCTGGCTGAGAAGATACAAGAAAGCCTTTCTGAGGGAAAGCTTTTGGAAATTTCAGGGCCATGATTCTGGAACCTGGTTGAATGAATTGTTGCCGGTTACATTTTTGCCAAAGATTCACCCCGGAAATGCTTCTGTTGATAGGTAGCCGTATTTTCTCTGTATTATATATTGTCATGGCAAATTAGGAATGAACTGTGTTTTTACAAGTAGCATTTTTGCTTTTCAATCAAATTGATTGGGGGGAGAATATGTCAGGCTTATCCTATGAAATATTTTTTATTCAGCAAAGTGGACTTTCCTGCTCCCTCCTTTCCCCATTACATTCCCTTTACCTCCTTTGCTTTCACACCTTCTCCCATTTCCAATAATAACCGGATCTAAACAAAGGGTCTGGCTATGGGACGTGAAAAAGTATGTGTTTAAAAGTCCCCAAAAGTTAATTTTCCTATTGCTTCAACTGAAAGTATAGTTTTCCCCATCCCCCCCAATCTGTGCTTTCCCTTTCTGCCATTTCAGTTACCATGGTTAATTGCCATCTGAAAATATTAAATGGAAAATTCCAGAAACAAACAATTCATAAGTTTAAAATTTCGTGCTATTTTGAGTAGTGTGATAAAACCTCAAACCATCCACTCGGTCCTACTCAGAACATGAATCATCCCTTTGTCCAGCTTATGCTCCCTGCCCTTGGTCACTCAGTACCCATCTCAGCTATCAGATCAACTGCCATGAAGGAGCAGTGTTTGTGTTCAAGTAATCTTTATTTTACTTAATGATGGCCCCAAAGCGCAAGAGTAATGATGTTAGCAATTTAGACATGCCACAGAGAAGCTGTAAAGTGCTTCCTTTAAGTGAAAAGGGAAGTGTGTACTAGTATAAGAAAAAATTATATAAATATATATATATGATTTGGTTTCAGACATCCACTAGGGGTTTTGGAATATGTACCTCACAAATAAAGGGAGACAATTGCACTTCTCAGCTTGCCCCTTGTAAACTCCCATTCTATTTAAATGTCATTTTCCAACTATAACTGGTACTAAAATATTGCCTCTCCCTATTTCCTACACTCATTGTCCCAAATGTGTAAAAACCCCCAAAAAGGATTAGTGTTCTTTCTGTATGACTCTTCCAAACATCCAGGGATCTTTCATCACAGAATTCATTACTTCCTAGCTTTTAATTACAGACTGCAAAGGCTTCTAATTAGTCTCATTTGCCTACAATTACCCTAGAAACACTCAGGTAGGCACTTTACTTTCTTATTTCAATTGCATAAGCCAAGTGCCTCTTTGCAGCATGAAATTACACCACTTTTTGTTTAAGAATTTCCAGATTCACACTCCTTCCGTGAGGAAAATCCAGTCTTCCTAGCCCTTGCAGGAAGCACAATAAACACAGGAGCTCATGTGTGGGTCTTTTCTGTCAAGACCTCCCATGACACCCACTCAGTTTTGGGTTTTGTGTGTGTGTGTGTTTTACAATTTCTGAAATGTGTTTTCCCTTCTCCCACATTTCAAATTCTATATCCCTTCTCCCCCATCTCGTTGCTAACATTCTCTTACATACCCACACACACCAACCTAAAAGAAAACGATGGTTTTGTGAGTCAAAGCTTGACAAGAACACAAGGACTTCCTACCTTTGTAAGAAATCAACCATGTATAAACTTAACTCTGCTGAGGTTATAAATTCATCCTTTACAAACAATAATGAGCATTTAGCCCTGAAATAAATGAAGTGCCATTAGCCAGTTTTGTTACATTAGTGTATAGTTATATCTTAAGAGAGGGCCTCTCCTCACCTTTCACTGATATGAATGAAAAATTGAGAGCAGTATGCTTGCGCGGCCAAGGAGAATTGTCCAGATGGGCACACTTGACAGGCAAATGGTTCCCAGGCCATCCCCTCCCTCATGAGCCACAGGGATTACCTCAGTCACAGCGGGGAGGTCACACTCGCTCTCTCCTGGAACCAGAACTTGGAGGGACTGTTAGGTGTGGATGGGACATAGGCTCCTAGAGGTCTTACGAGCTAATGATTGAACGACATAATGAAGAACAAAGCAATCTAAATGAGTTATTATCATAACACCAATTACCCATTTATCCCATTTCATGGCAAGATGTAGTTCTTTTCATAAAAAAGTATTTTCTTCCAGAAAATTGAATACAGTTATATCCTAAAGCCAACCATGAGAAGAGGCATAGAAATCTGAAGAAGTGTCCTTTCATGTTCTACACCATTTTCCAAAGATAAGAAGGGCCGGCCCATCTCCATTTGCTGGTAGATGTTAACTTTTCAGAGCTAGAAGAGGCCTCTGGAACTATAGTCCAATACCCTCATCGCACAGTGAGGAAACTTAAGCCTACATGGGTTAAAGAAGACATTCTGTAACAGAGCTGGGACAGATCTCAGCTTTTCTACTTCCCACCCAGTGCCCTTCGACTCCATACTATATCATTATCACAGACATTAAATTGGATGTTTGTAGGTATATTACTGGAATGCATTTGTTTTTCCTATAGAGCCCAGCCATATTTCAAACACATGACTTAGGTCACTATACAAAGGTAATCCATCAAACCTAGAGACAGGAATTTGATCAACATATGATATGCCTGGAATCCACAGTATACAATATAATATAACCCTGATTTAATTGCACAGTATACAGTAATGTAATCCAACTCTAATGGTTCAAATAACTAGTTTGACAGGTATTTTTTTTCCATTCAGATGATTGGTTATTTGGTAGAATTAATGGACTATTTGAACTATTTTAGAAACACAGAAGTACTAAGACACAAGTCAAAGCTATGTCAAAGGAAGAAATCTGGGCTGATTTCTGCCAAGAAAAGTTATACTCAACAGTTACTCAATAACTATAATAACTACAGCAATCCCAAATAGGAAGCACTAAACTGAGAAATCAAAAAAATAAGTCATACGCATATGACAAGAGGGAGTTTTAGTTATGAGACTTTGATAACAATATGTCTGGTCATGATATTCAAAGAACCAGTTGGAAGATCCTGGTCTGTAAGTGCCAGATGAAGTGGATATAACCATACGCTATTTTCACAGAACTCAGAACAAAATGCAATTACCAGGGTAGAACATGTTTAAAACAGTACAACTTATAAAGGAAATAAAACTTAAACAGTAGTAAAGAATAAATCACAACCTTGCTCACAATTTAAGGAGAAATTTTAAAAATTTCAACCCAGAAATTGAAGTCCAAACAAATGTCCTTATTTAGAGCATTAAGTTCTTGTGAGCAATGATCTCGCAAAGTGGAAGGTCTTCAAGAAGAAACATTTGACGTGAGGTAAGCCTTTAACAATGCACTATTGCATCCCTCAAGGCAAACTCTCCATGACACCAAAGTGATGGAAGATTAGAGACTGAGGTTTTGCTCTGAAGGACTGTTTGATACCATACTGGACACGATTATCTAACCATATTTGTCTTCGATTTTAAATCTACCCCTATGTTTAGATGCCAGAATGCAAAATGTGCATTTTCTCTCAACAGAGAATGCCACAGGTCACCAGGTATTCTCTTGAGAGCCATTGTGTAGGCTGACAAATCAGGAAACTCAACTAAGTATCTTCATTTCAAGGACCATTAGGAACACAGAGTGAAAGTATGGTGGGGTCTCTCTTTTCCGAGTCCAGCACAAAAAAGAGAGAGGATCGGGTTCTTTGAGTAGAAGGGCTGGGGATTAAGAAATAAAAGAAAGAAAGAGACAAAGAGATAGAGGGGGAAAGCTGGGACCAGGTGGACTGCTGCCCTCTTCTGATGGAGAGACAGTGACCCAGAGCTGATTCAGCCTGTTTATTTTATACCCCCAAGTACCTGGAAATTTCACCAAAAGTCAAGACAAAGAAGATTATTTGCATTCTTGAATAGGCCCAAGTCTTATTCATTCCTGGTGCTTGACTGGTTTTACATATCAAAACCCTATTCCCAACACCTGGGCAAAGATAAGAGTCAATGCTGAGAACACATTTTCTTTTTTTGGTAAGATGTGTAACCAAGACTCAGCTTTGCATGTCGCCTGAGGTTCAGCTGACAATCATTAAGAAAAATACCCATGTGCCTTCCCAGGCACTCTCTACAGAAAAGAGAAGGTCTGGGAAACTGAGTTTCTTACAAAGGAAGTTAAGTACTTTTTTAAAGGAAATGTTTAGAGAAGGGAGAGAAAAGTAAAACCAAACGCAAACACACACCTGACAAATTCTCCCAGAGAAATGCACGTTTCTGCCTGGCCTCTGGAGGCACAGAGAAGAAGGGAGGGCTGTCAATGGGAAGAGCGTTCCATATTTCCCTGTATCTAAGCAGAGTCAACCAACGGGGTAAATTGTGTGATAATTCTTCATAACCCCATCCCACAATGCATTAAAAATGGACAAAATGCTCTTTGGTTTTTGGGGGGGTCGGGGGCTCTTTAACAGCAGGGCAAGTCATAACCCTCATACTTTCTCTGCTAACACAGAACAGGCAGTCTAGGGAAACTCGCCAAGAAACATGAATGAATAAAGCATTTTGAAAGTTTCCTTGGGAAGGGACATGACTCAAAACCTGAAATGCATGACTTTGGGAATCTGTAAAGACAGTTCTTTGTACGAATGATGTTTAATCATCGTTAGTGAAATATATATCTGAATGGAATCATTGCATGTAAAATGCACAGCAGCAATCATGGAGCACAAAAAAAAAAAAAAAAAAAAAAAAAAAAAAAAAAAAACGAGACAAAGCAACAACTGATGGTGCTTCCATGGCCAGCAAAGATCAGAAAGGAGAATCAAGGGCCAAACTCTACCCAGAGGCACTCCAGGCAGCAGAGGCTTGGCCCTGCTCCCCCTGAGAGCTCTCTGGGTTAGGGCAGGAGTGCGTCAGGAGGGTGTGGCTCATCTCTGAATTTGTGAGATGCAAGTTCAGCAACAGTTCTTGGCTTTCAATATCCACTACAGGAAATTAGAGTAAGGGATGCATGATTAATCTTGGTCACAATCTATTTTCCCCCCTTAGGGAATATTATATCACAATCCAGAGTC